TGCAGGGGTGGGCAGAGCTGGACCAGGGGGAGGCAGGCGCAGGTGAGGCCCCAGGTGCAGTGTGTAAGGAGGGCTCCCGCTCAGGGTCTCTTGCGTGCCCTTGGGCGCCCCCTTCTGTTTTGCACCCTGCGTGCCTCACCTGCTTACCCTCAGATCCCACCCTACTGGGCCCCTTTCTTCCTGACTCCAAGGCTGTTTTATCTCCAGTGTGCTGGGTCCCCTCTCTTTCCTTGCCTTGTGGCTGGCTCCCAAGCCAAGGCTTGCGTCTCCATGGATCCTTAGGCCAGTTTTAAGTCATCACCTAGTTTCTCTCTGGTCCAGGTTCCTCCCTGTGCCTGTGAGGGAACTGAGGTACAGAGAGTGGACAGCTTGCCCATGCCCATCAGAGCGGGCAAGAGAGTAGACATCAGGACCTCTGATTTCCTGTCCTGTGCCTTCCTCCTGAAGACCCCTTCCCTTCACCATGCTGTCACCCCCACCCACCAGCATCCCTGCCAGCCCCTGCCTTTGCCTGGGGATGAGGCTGCTGGCCACCGTGACCTCCCAACTCCCAGTACCAGAGATCTACTCAGGAGTTTTCCTCTGGTCCGGGGAGAACTTCACTTCCCCCAGAGCTGCAGCGTCTAACTGACCTCAGGATGCAGCCAGTGCCCAGTGGCATTAGATCACACTAAGTTCCCAAGTGGTCCTCAGTTTCCTCATCTGTCGAACAGACATCAGCCATGCCTTCTTTCCGAGGCTGTTGTGACAGGAAAACAATGCTTGGGAAACTCTAGGTATTTTGCAAATGTTACTGGCTATGCAAATTCATATCATTCATTCATACCTAGCAGCCCCTACTTCTGGCACCAGCACATGGCTGATCACAAGGCAGCTTCTGATGGGCTGAAGCATTTCACTGCAGAAGCTGGAGTGTAAATTTAATTCTGAATCTAGCCTTTTTCAACCGTCATCATCCTCTTGGGTGGAGGTTGTGATTTGGGCCCATGTTCCCACCCCCCCGATCCCCTTAGCTGCTCACCTGTCGTCCTGTCACGCCAGCTCTTCCTCCTTTTTTGGGCTGGTGGCTCCTTCAGTTTCAACAGGATCACCTCCGTCGTTTCACTCTGTGGTCGCTGCCTGGCCTGCCATCTCTCTGGGCCCTTTTTTGCCCCTAAATCGGGACTTTCTGGTTCCAGCGGGCACCCCCAGGCCTCTCCGGGTGGGCTGTGGGATCCCAGCCCCCTGCCCTGAGCCAAGATCTTGTCTTGGAAGAAGGTCTGAGCTGGCTGCCTCTTCCCCACCGACGGTTTCTGTTTTTGGAAGGCAGGTTGGTGTCCACTGCTGGCGGGTCACCTGATCTGTAGCTTTAAATTTAGAGGAACCCGGCTCAGGTGGGTATGGGGTCCAGGCCAGACGTGGCAAGAACGTGGATGGGGCCTCTGCTTTGCAGTGGGATTGCAGCACAGGAGCAGAAATGGAGGGTGGGGGCACTGGCAGACTGGAGAGAGAGCAGGCACCTTCCAGCTCCATCCTGATGTTTTGTGTGACCTTGGTGTTCCTGCTCTGGGGCCTGACTGCTGCCCTCACACCATGAGTGAGGGTCAGGTGAGCTCATGCCCCGGGATGCCTAGGCGCTGAGCTCCCGTACTGCCCCGTGCAAGGCGTGTGGGTGGTCAGCGCCTCCTTCTCCTGTCCACACCCACTCCTGCGGTCTGTGACAGAGGGGAAATGTGCTGTCAGCCGGGGAGGCAGGACAGTGATGCAGCCCCGCATTCCGAGAGCCCTGGGGCGCCTGGTAATGGGCTTGGCCTTGTTGCCCTTGGAGATTCCTGTCCAGCTCTGTCATCCTGGGAATGGGTCCCCTCTCCAGGAAAGGCCTAAAACCCACACAGACCAGGAGGAGAGTTCCCATCTGCCCGGCGGTCATCCTGGAGCTGCCGCTGACCGTCTGGGCATGAGGTCAGCAGGACGTGGAAATTCCCCATTCCTGTCTTTGTGTTTCTTTCCTCCAGAAGCCCAGACCCTCCCTCGGGCAGCTCCTCTCATCTCCAGAAAGGACTTTCTCACAGTAGACTGTTTGGTCTGGGCTCCCTCTGCCTGTAGCCTGTTTCTCCCCCTGCCCCCAAGCTGCCCAGGCTGGAGTCAGGAGAATAGCCCTGCCTGCCCCTCCGCTGCTTCCCGTGAGTCCGCTTCCCTGTTGGCTCCCCAGTGCTGAGGGAGAGCATGCATGGTTTGGAGGATGTGGAGGTGGGGTTTCAGTTCCTGTATCCTGCATCCTGCTCTGTCGCTTGGCCTTACATCTGGGCATCTCTGAGAGATCTTGGCTGTGCCAGCCTTGATTCTGGAAGTATATGGCTGTCCAGGTGCTTCTGGTCCGTGGATCACGGTTAGGCTCTCAGGATGTTTGCACATGGCCTGTCAGGAGGCAGGCGTAGGGTCAAGGGTTCCTCTGGCCCTTTCTGTCTCTCTGTTTTGATTCGAGGTTTATTGGGGCTCTATTCTGGACCACTCCGAAGATACCCTGGTAGACCAGGTGATCTCGGCCCCTGCTCTCGTGGAGCTTCTAATCTATTGGGCAAGCCAGATGTGGAGTAAAAACATTCCCAAATCATCACATAATGTCAGCTGTGAGTTCCATGTAGGGTGAGTGTGGAGTGGTGAGCAGGAACCCGGACTCCTGCTGTCACTTATCACCAAAGGTGGCTACGGCCCCTCCGGCTCTTGGTCCCCCCATCTGTGAACTCCATTCAGCTCATAATCAGGGCTCACCTCCCACGTGCCAGGCCTGTGCTGGCAACAGAGATGAGGAGAGCATGCCCCTGCCTCCAGGAGGTTCTCAGTCAGATGCACATAGGCTTACCCCAGTCATATATATTCCATACTGGGCGTAAGGGCTTGCTGGAGAGGCACACAGGAGAAAGGGGAGCGTAGAGGAAGGATGCCCCCAACGTCTACCAACATTTCAAGCTCCTTGCTATATGCTAGTCCTTGTGCCGAGTGCCTTACCCACACTGGCTTTTAATTCAGTGACCACTTCAAAGCTTTATTGCTCTGCCATGTAACATTGACCTTTCAAGTTAAAAATAAGTCCCCCCTAAGCAGGCTGGTGACTTTTGTGTTGGGTGTGTGGGCAGCTGTCCTTTGCCTTTGTGGGGCTCAGCAGGGCGTGGGTGCCTCTCAAGTGTGTGTTTGTCTTTTTCGTTAGTCTTTGGGGGAAAGATCCCTCTCACCAGAATTTTGTTTTTCCTCCTGGCTCATGGCATCCCATGGTAATGTGGACCCTCTGGGCAAAATCCTTGTTTATCTCTTGTGCTGCAAGGCAGGGGAAACAGCCCAGAAGGTACCCATGTTACCCTGCAAATAGGCTTGAACTTGCATTTTGCCTGTCTGGCCTGAGTCTTGGCAGCTGTGTGAGGATAGCAGGTGATTAGCTCGGCTTTCTTAGGTGGAACTGGATTTTCATCTTGGCCCTCACTTGCTGGCTGTGTAATCCTGGCTGAGTTACTTAACCTCACCAAGCCTCCATTATAAAGTGAGGATAATTTACTATGTATTTTAGGGTTGTTGTGCCGTTTGACTGAGATAATGCATCCGAAGGGCTTAATGCAGTGCCTGGCAGGTAGGTTAATGAATGGTGGCTGTTACTATTAGTCCCTTTTTACTCTTTTCTTGCAGTGAGCACTTGTGGGTGCTCAAAGGGCCTTTGAGGACTCGTGACTGAAATCGTTTTGGCCTTGGGGGTGGTGATCTTGGGAGGGAGGTTTCGGGGCCCCAAGTCCTTCTGAAGTCCCCGGTGGAGGCCTTTGGAGCTCTTTCGTGGTTAGTAAGCTCTTTGTAGGGCTGGAGGCTGAATCAGTTTTTTAGCCTCAGGGCCTTTGCACTTACTGTTCTCTCTGCCTGAAATATTATTCCCCCAGATATCTGCATGGCTAGTTCCCTCACCTCCTTCTATAAAGTCCCTGCCTCAAACTTCCTGCTTAATTTTTGTCCGTAGATGTTTTTATCACCCCTAATACTATGTTCATCTCTCTCACTATGTATCTACTTATCTACCTCCATCACTAGAATGTAAGCTCCAAGAAAGATTTTTGTCTATTTTGTTTGCTGATAATTACCTAGCACCTAGACTAGCACCCAGCACAGAATAGATGCTCAATAAATAATTGTGGAATGAATGAATGCAAGAAAGAAGTTTCTCTGCTAAGTCACAGAACTCGGATTCTGAAATCACTTTGCACAGTGGTTTGAAATGAAATAAAGCCGGTGAAATTGAACAGAGTAATGCAGAGCACTTGCTGCACAAGCAGATGAACAGAAAATCCATCTGTCCATTAGAACTGGAAGGAGGAGGTTGACAGTGTCAATTCGTATAGTAAATATTAGTCAGGGGGTTTTCTTCTTGTTCTTTCTTTTAAAAAAGATAGTGCACATATAAATGGAAATTCGGATTGGATTGACTTGCTTATCCCTTTGGGCACTAACATTTCATTTTAAAGATCACTGATGTAGCGTAAGACTTTCATTTCCCCTCCTCCAAGAGGGGAAGGGACTGCCCACAATCCCACAGTGAGTTAATAGCTAGACTATTTATTCATTTGATAAGTGTTTATTGGGCATTCCTGTCATAGCTAACACCATGCTGGGCGCTGCAGATGCAGTGATGCAGGGTCCTCTTCTTCTGGACCCTGTCAACAGGACATGAGCTCAAGTGTTTTGACTCCAAGGCCAGTGCTCTTTCTTGTACTCCACATTGCACCTCACAGTTGACTGCTGTTCCAAATGAACCGGTGGTACAGTGAGGCTGCTAAAAGAAACTGATGCCATTCTTAGGTTGCATTAATAGAGGCAAAGTTTCCGGATCAAAGGAGGTGACTGTTCTGCTCTGCTGTACTGTGGCCAGGCAGTCTGAAGTGCTGTGTTCTCTTCTGGGTTATGGTGACTGCCTCCTGGGGCACTGATTGACTAGGACGCCTCAGTGGCTTGGCCAGCCCCCTGACATACTGCTGTTGTCCTTACAGCCAGGCGGGCACCACGGCAGGGGCTGAGCCACCATCATGGAAGGGAGAGGACCATACCGGATCTACGACCCTGGGGGCGGCGTACCTCTGGGCGAGGTGTCCGCAGCTTTTGAGCGCCTAGTGGAGGAGAATTCCAGACTGAAGGAAAAAATGCAAGGGATAAAGATGTTAGGTAAAGCAGACCCTGCACTCTGCCTGCGAGCCTCCTCCCTGCAGCCTGCAGTGCCAGCTGGCATATGCTTCTGCCCAAGTCCTCCCTCTCCCTCCTGCCCCGCAGCTGTGTCTTTGTGTACTTCTGTAGCACGGTGGCAGTATTCCCAGCCCTGAGTCCCTGGCACCCCAGAACCATGAGGACAAGACTCAGAATACCCTGAGGGACTGAGAAGGAGGCCTGGGGTGGCGGAGAGGGAGCTGGCAGGCCCAATTAGCAGGCAGGGAAACAGAATGACCCATCTTCCAGAAGCACCAGAAATGGGGAGAGCTGGCATCACCAGGGCAACCAGGGTACGGTCCCCAAGTGTTAGAGCAGGGAGCTGAGCTTGGCTTGAAGCAAGGCGGGAGGAGGCCCCTTGGTTTCTCTGTTCCTGGCTTTTCCTCAAGCTGTCGCCACTGCCCAGAGCAAGCCTGCTTACCTCCACGTGAGTGACTGGTCCCCATCTGTCAGTACCCAGCTCAGATGCCGTCTTTTCCTCCACGAGAGGCTTTCATTGACTTCCCCATCCAGAGGGGACTCTCTTTCCTCCAAACTCCTAAAACTATTCCTTTGCCTTGCTGCCACCTTCTCTGAGCTTAGGCTTTGGGGGTGAGCACAGCTCCCGATTTTCCAAATGCTTTCTCCTTGCTTGGCAGATTTCTCCTTGGAATGGCAGATTGGGGGAGGAGGGATGGAGTTTCCCTGTCTCCACTTACAAAAGAAGGCAAACGAGACCCAGAGGGGTGGTTGATGTTATGGAGGGTCTCCTCCCTTCAGGCAGTCCCTGACTGCAGGCCGTAGGCTGTGGGTAGCCCCCCGGGACCATGATGGTGGGCCTAAAAGAGCCCCTGGCTTTGTGGAGTCCCCAGCCAGGTGCGGTGGGAGTCGGGCAGGAAGAGGGTGCCAGGGACCAGGAGTTTGTTCTAGATTCCCCTCTGCTCCTTTTCCCCTGGTTGCAGGGCTCTTCCTTATCAGGCCTCTTTCTGGTTGTGGGCTAGAATGACGTGTGTCCCACTCAGCCCACAAGGTGATGCAGGGAGTGAAACCCAGGGCCTGCAGCTCCAGAACCCAGGTAGAAGCAGGCTTAGAGGCTAGGGATGGGAGAACGAGCACACTGAACCGAGTAATTCCTTTTGTGCCTCCTTCCCCCATTGTCTCCCCAGGGGAGCTTTTGGAAGAGTCCCAGATGGAAGCGTCCAGGCTGCGGCAGAAGGCAGAGGAGCTGGTCAAGGACAGTGAGCTGCTGCCACCGCCGTCTCCCTCTTTGGCCTCCTTCGACCACCTGGCTGAGCTCACAGGTACAAGAGGAGCCCAGGCGGTCCTCTGCCTTGCCTGTACTCCTTACTTTCTAATCCCTTAACCGTGGACTCCCTTCTTAATCAGAAATCCACCTCTCCTTCATTTATCCTTAGGCCGCAGGCCATCCTCCCAGTCATGTTCTGGCTATAGAATCCCCCAGAAGGTCAGATTTGGAAAGGACTTCAGAATAACCTTGTCCAAAAATAGCTGGTGACTCAGCAGTCCTGAGGCCCTGGCAAACATTAGAAATGGATCACAACAATCCACTGCACCCAGGATGTGGACTCAGGATCTTTATCAGCGTAACTTATTCAGCAAATATTTAATGAGCAGCTACTATGTGCCCGGCATCATGCTCCAGGCAGCCACTTTGGGTCACTAGAGTTGGCATCTGAGTCAGAAGCTCTCTGGTCTGGCCCCCCTCCTTCCATTTTACAGGTGAGGAAGCTGAGGCCTGTGGAAGAACTAGATTTGCCTATCAGCCTGCTGCAGTGTCTTTCAGATGTCAGGTCCATATGCTACCTTTTTTTTTTTTTTTTTTGCCCTAAGTCATAGGTGAGGAAACTGAAGCATAGAGAGGTTAAGCAATTTACTCGAGATCATCCAGTTACTAAGTTTGCGGTACGCAGGCCTCTCACCGCTGTGGCCTCTCCCGTTGTGGAGCACAGGCTCCGGACGCGCAGGCTCAGCGGCCACGGCTCACGGGCCCAGCCGCTCCACGGCATGCGGGATCCTCCCGGACCGGGGCACGAACCCGTGTCCCCTGCATCAGCAGGCGGACTTTCAACCACTACACCACCAGGGAAGCCCCATATGCTACCTATTAAAGGAAAGCGTTGACTATGACTTAGGGTTAAAGTCCTGTGTGTGATCACCATGCATTCCCCTGGCATGTCTCCAAGTCCAGGACAAGGTCTGGGTCTAGGGAGGAAAAGGTGCTCCCCGACATGGGGCTCAGATGCCTCCTGCTGCAGCCCCACCTTACGGTCTCAGCCCATGCCAGCGTGCCAACCTTCCATTTGGCTGCTGGCTATATTTAGTGAATGGACACATGGAGGAAAGTGATGCTCACAGAGTCCACTGTTCTTCAGGCAATGGATGTTTCCAGCTTCTACTTGTCCATTCAGTAGCGCTTTCTGAGTCCTGGATGGGTGCCGGGCCTATCCCCAGAGGGAGCCGTGCAACTCCCCTCAAGGGGCCCCCTGTGGCCAGAGTGCCAGGAATTCGGGGAAGGAGAGCTAAGTTTGAGTCCTGGTTCTGTCTGCAGTTGCCAACTGTGTGACTGTGGGCCCGTTGGTGACCTTTCCATGCCTCAGTTTTCTTACCTTTAAAATGGGGACACAGAGCCGTCTTGAGAATTGGCTGAGATAATAAATATAAAAATACTTTGTTAATTGTAAATTGTTATCCTTGTCATCATTGAGGCAGGTCCAGGGTAGCAAGGAGCAGTGGCCACCTTGGGATTTTCCCAGCAAATCCAGGGAATATGGTCTCTCTGCCCAGGTTCTACCCCGTCATTCCAGAGCCAGTCGTTCTCCCAGGCTACCGGGCCCTGCTGGGACCACCTCCCATTTTCCCAGACTTGTGTAGGGA